TAACTATTTATAAAAATACTAATAATAAAAATAATAAATAAAATAATAAGATAAAATAATTGAAACTCATTTTATAATAGTACAATTAAATTATACTTTGAAGATAATCATATAGAAGAATATCAACAATAAATAAATTAAATGAGCTTCTAGTATGATAAATAGTTTCTAATTAACAAGTATTTTATGTTATCAAGAATAAAGATTTTCAAATATATGTATTTAAACTTAATTCTCATTATAAGTTTTCTACAAGACAAACAATTTCAATCTATATTTGGTAGTTTTATGAGCTAGAACAACAATAGCTACACAAATTTTTTAAAAATTTTGCTTATAAAGTTTCAATAACAACTAATATATAATCTGTATATACAAACTAAATAGTTCCTATAGTTACCTTATATTAGATTGATAAGAGCTAGCAGTTGCAATATATATTTCTTAACTTTGTTTCTTTTCATAAATGATATATAGGTATCTATCTAGCAGATACAATTTTTAAATTAATAGAAGACTTTGGTTTTGAGAAAAAACTTTTGTTAGCAACTACTGATAATACTTATAATATAGATATTTGTAGCTAATACCTTGCTAATATGTTGGAATTTTATTATAAAAACGACAACTTTTTACTAATTACAATATGTTACTTATATACTTAATCTTATTGTTATGAATAGTCTTTTTGAAATTAATAAATTAATAAAAAAAGTATATAAGTTCACAAGTTATATCTGATGTTTTTAGCTATATTTGAAAGAATTAAAAAAAATTTGTGTAATGAAAAATAAATTATTTTTGATACTTGAATTAGACTGCAAAACAAAATAGAATTTATTGTACTTAATATTAAACAAATTATATAGAATCTGAGAAATAACAAATATATTAATTGCTTCAATACCACAACTTAAATATCTAAATTTGACTAATCAAAACTGAAATAATATTGAAGTAATAATGGAGTTGCTAAAACCTATTTATGAAGCTACCAACTTACTTTTTTCATCAAGCTATTCAACTATTGGAGTAGCATATACAGCTTTGTTTGTAATTATTATAAGCTAAAAATAAAATAGATTCAGTTAAATCATATATTTCAGAAAAAATTCTCAAAAAAATAGATAAATATTAGAATGAATTACAATCTATATTTCCAGAAACAGTGTTGCTCAAGCCATTATCTAAACTTTCAACCTTTAGCTTTAGTTTTGAAAAAACTATTGCATATCAAATAATTAATAAAATATATTAAAATTATGTTCCACTTATTAAAGATCCTATCAATCATATTGAGCCAGTTTTAAAATCTAATCAATTTATATCAGCTCACTATTACTTTCAAAATTAGTTAAAATAAACCTATAATGATATATCAATTAATTCTAATATATTAAACAAATACTTGAATGCTTCTAATAAAGTTGTAGATACCCTTTTGTATTGGAAATCTAAGTCAGTAAATTTACCTTAGATGCCTCTTGTGAAAATAGCTCATGACTATCTTGTTACACAAGCAACAAGTGTTCCTAGTGAACAAGCCTTCTCTGTAGCAAAACATATCCTAAATGCTGTGAGAAACCAGTTAGAAGATGAAAAGGTACAAGCAAGTCTCTGCCTAAAAACTTGGAACAATCAGGGTTAGTAAAAAGTAACTTTGAAATTTCTAAAATCTAAATGTATACGCTATATGCGTTCTTTTTTATTATTACATATTTTTAAATAAAAATTTAAGTTTCAAAAGATTTAAAATTTATATATGTTATATATTAAACTGCTGGGGTTGATACTGGTTAGACTGGTTTTAGACAAAGGTCATGAACTAGTTTCTAACTAGTTCAGGACCAGACTTTTAAAAATAAATCAGAACTTGACCGGACAGACTTTTTAACATCCCTATCATTTTCTCAAAATGGAAACCCTTCAAAGACCTATTTTTCTAGACCATGATCTATTTAGAGATATGAAAAGTCCAGACTTAGCTAGAAAAAGGTGATATGATTAAACTAGACATTTTTTTGACCCAAATTTTTCTAAATTCTGGTCAAAATTAAAATTTAATTTTAACTTGACCAGAATTTAAAAAAGTTTGGGCCAAAAAAATGTCCAATTTGATAAAAAAATATCTATACCCAGACTGAGTCTATATGAGAACTCAACTTCTGAAGTCGAGCCAGATCGGACTGAACAGGACTTTTCACATCTTTAGTAATCAGTGTTAGAAATCTAATATTCTCAATATTCTTGAGAACATTAAATATTTTTGAGAATATCATATTTAAACATTATGTTTTTCATTTTGAGAACATAAAATTTTTTAGTTTTTAATATATAAATCACTCTCGTTATAGTGAATTCTCGATATAGTAAAGATCCTGATACGTATAGTGAAGAATTTTTTTTAAATTTATTGTCATTATTATTAACTCTTCACTCGATATAATAAAGTTTATATAGTATTTTCTCGATATAAGCTATAGTCAAGATTTTTTTTTCTCAGCCTGATCACTTCACTATAACGCATGTGACTTGTAGTTAATAATATTTTGAGAATATAAAAGTTTTTTGAATGTAGTAAAATTGTATAATAAGAACATAAATTTAAAATTTTATGTTCTTTAAAAAATTTTTTCACTGCTAGTGATAATCACCAGTAAATACATTTTTTAATTAACAAGGATAGCTTTGCGGCATGTGGTACCAGTACGATCAAGCATGGCAGGTAAAATTCAAACCCACCTGTTTGTTATAAGGTGAATTGCAGCATCTATAAACTGAAATTTTGTAAACGTTGAAGTTATTATCTGAGACTTAATTGAACATGAGGTGAGGTATACATAGTATCTAATTTATTTCTCTTAATAAACATTTATTTCGCCAATAATATGTCAAACCAGCTTTTCTTAGTAGCGAAATTAATTTTCATAGTTGACAAAATTATTATAAAAATTATTTGAGTTCCTTATATCAAAATACATTAAAAAGTATAGTTATTTGTGTGATTTATATAAGAAAGTTTAGCAATAGTGAAATTACTTTATTTAAAAATTAATTTAGACACCCATGTACAAATCATAGTAAGTAATAGAAAGTCCTTGAAACACCAAGATAGTGCCCCTTATATTACAACCAACTTAAGTAATTATACTCTTCTCGTTTGCTAAAAGAAGCTAGTAGTTACTAATGTTGTGAGCAGATTCATAATTTCAGTAGATTTCAGAATCAACTTAAGTTGATTTTGCAAATAACTTCAATGATTGCCGTATTTTATTAATTACAAATGTTCCTAATAAAAAATATCATTTAAGATCTCCTAATTTACATTATAAGACGTTTCCATTTATATATTACTGGGATATTTTTGGCGTACTTAACATACTCGTCATATCTAAAATGCTCAATTCCCACCTAAGTTATTTAAAATAATAAGTTAATTCTTAATCAACTTTAAGTTGATTTCAATTTCACTGATATTCTCAATCCACCGATTAAAGACTTAACTAAGGAAGAATTAACCATTTTATAGCAACAGAGCCATTCATGTGATCATATTAGTACTAACTCCAAAAGGATATATGAACTTTATAAAATAGAGGAAAAAAATCTAGGGTCAAAAAGGAACTATCCCATGTGATCTGGTATAATTATTTATTAGTATATTTCCTCATTTGAGTAATATCCAGAGGAAGGATGCAATACGCATACAGAATTTAACCTGGATATTTTATTAACTAATATGCATTATATTTTGTTCTAAATTCTGAGAACATGCTATTATGGTTTGATTTCAAAATTCCAATTACATGCGCGTTAATTTTCTATATTTATTCAGCATATAAAATATTTTCATAGTTAAAATCTTCATATATTATTTCTGTATCTTCCTATGTTGAAAGAGTATCTGGAACTCATATCCAATCTCGAATCGTGGGTTCATTACTATTAAAATCAGCAAGTATTAATTTCTTTAATTCGCTTGTTTGATTTTTAAGTCTATTCTGAAAATAAAAATAAAAATTAAACTAAAATACTTATAAAGTATACAGAGTAAATATAAAAATACATACCACCAAAGCGTATAACAATTCAAATACTTCTATAAAATTTTCAACTTCCTCAAAGGAAAATGGTAATATAGCAGACTTGATTTGTGAAATCTTATAATAATGTCTTCTGTCGAGACAAAATTCACTTAATGTAATTCGGTCACCTATAGTAAACTATAAAATAAGATTTATACTACTCAAAAGAAACTAGTGAATACAATAAAGTAATTATATTACCAATGCACTGCACTATGTAGGTACAAATATTTCTTACGTATTTTGCATTTTTATCTAAAAAATCTCTAAGCAAAGCGACTAAGCCGAACATACTCTCTTTTATAAGTTTTTCAGTATCTTCTCTAATGTGCTTTAAAATGGCATTTTCTGGTCCTCTAGATACTTTGATAAATATAACTTCTTTATTGCTAGAAACCTTAAAACAAATCCTATCTACTTTATTCAACTTCAGATCAAATTCTGGAAACAACATTTTTGCATCCTTGATACAGTTAGCTTGGACTTCTATCCAATTGAATGTATACTCTCAATAAACAGATTGAATTGCCTTAAAGGAATAATTCTATCAATGGTATATTTCCTTTTCCCAATATAACGACTCAAAGGATCCTTAACAGTCATGGAAAAACTATTTTGTGTTGGTGAATTAGTCAGTTATACCTGGAAAACAAATAGAATCAGTATATACTCACAAATCATATAGAATACTTTTGCAGACTTTCTGAAATGGGTGATCAGGATTTGGTAAAGTCATAATAGTACTCTCAAATACATTCTTTTCTGACTAATTAATAAATATTTTTAATGTATTTGACGCAACATTTGAAAAATTTATATTTACCTACTGATAATACATCTATAAGTCAACAGCGAATTTCTTTTGGAAAAGTATCGACATTATCAGCTTTCATTATTACACATTGTTTGTTGACGTTTATTGAAAAATGATTGGCTAAGTACTGCATAACTTTATCACAAAGTGTTGGTTTTTGTGGCATTGTTATAGTCATTTTGCATGGTCTTTGAGACGGTGTCTTGAACTAGTGAATAACAATTAATCAATAGAGAAAATAAATTACATGAAAATCAATTTAATGCTAACTTACACCATCATCATTAAGAGCGATTGTAGAATAAGACTCTCCTGGATCATTTAGGATACTTGAAAGGTTCATTATAGACGCGTTTGTCTAAAAAATATAAATGCATCAATTTGTTTTATTATTATACAAAAAATAAATACATAATCTTATAAAGAATAAGCTAACCTCAACAAATTGACTTTGAGTTAGCTCACTATATTGGGCTTTGATTCTTTCATTTCGAATAAGTTTAACCTCTTTTTCCAGTTGCTGATCCCGTTTGTATATGTAATCTAACTAATAAATAACGAGAATCATATCAATTTTCATATTTTTATGACTTGCCATAGCAACAAAAAGTACTTACATCAGAAGACTCTATTTGCCATAGTTTTCTCTTCCTTTGTATGTTCGTGTTATTGTAATTATTCCAAAAAGCGTTTACTTCTGGCGAATTTTTTATATCCTTAAAATGAAGGATTATTGATTAGTACTTCACTGTTTCGTAATAAATAAGCTAAAGGCACGAGTACTATTGAGAAATAGTGTTTGACTCGTGGTCAGAAACACCCTACAACACATGGTCAGTAGTGCCACACTATTTTTGGACTGTTGATAAATCACTACCGACTCTTGGTCATCACTGTGCAACTTCATGGTCCCACTAGTGTGTAGCAACAATAACTCGTGGTCTACCAAAAATTTTCAGATTTTTGGCTCATCAACAGCCATTTTTTCAAAATAAATACAACCTTCAAATCTCTCAATATCAGCCTTGCAATTTCTCCTTTTACTCCAACTTGGCATGAAATCTTTCTGATTATATCGATAAAGACACTATGTTCATACGTTTTACTTGCAAAATCCACGAAGTTGGATCTCCAATGGAGATATCCCAAAAGCGACCAACATTCAGGATCAGTTTGGTTAAAGTAGTCCATTGTGTATACAAAGCGATTTAAATGACACGTCAGAGGTGGTTGATTTTTGCATATTACGTATCATATATACCTATATATACTGAAAAATTAGGTCATACAAAATATCCCGATCGTTACCTATACATAGGGATGGTAATTGGTTTGGGGCAAACTGGAGCATGGGGGACTTTCTCAAATTTCAGAAAAGTACGGGTTTATCACATGATAGTTGATTAATTAACATCACGCACATTGTTCAAAGATCATCTATCTGAGTAGTATTATGGTACGGTTCCGGGTCCGAATTTATGCATCGGTTCGGATACGGATCTTATTTTTATCACGTAGATCTTACGTACGTAATACAATACGAAACACATAGCATTTTTTGAGTGGCTCATATTTCAATATATTTTTTTTAAAGTCGAATTTTTTTTTTATTGGCACAGATAGTTAATTCGCTGAGTAATCTATTTCAATAAATTTTGTAAATAAATACGCTATTCCTAAAAATTTTTATATAAACAACTCTTAAGTGCGCCATAATACCCTACCCTCCCTTATGTGAACCGGCCTTAGATTTCAAATTTATTTTTTCTTTAATTTGTATTTAGATCCAATACGTATAAATAAAATTTCAGGGTTTCATGTGACCCAACCAATAAAAATGAACTACTTAGAAATCAGAAAAATTATAAACCCTAAATTTTGTATTAAAAGAAGTTTCGGAATTAAATAAACCTTTTCTCCTGTTATTACTACACAAAAAAATCGTATTATTTGATTGTTCAATAATGCATTCCTGTCAAAAAATAAAAATTTTATTCAAAATTTATCCTAATATTGGTCAATACCAGTGTTGTAGGTGAAACCGAAACTTTCGCCCAGGCGAAATTCCGAAATTGGTTTTGCCAAAGACTCCAAAATTCGATTCTTCTGAAATTGACGAAACCTGGCGAAATGTCCGAAACTGGCGAAAGTTCCGAAATCTGGCAAAATGTCCGAAACCTGGCGAAACCGAAACCTGAGCGAAAGGTCCGAAACCTAATATACAAATTATGATTGACAAGCATACAAAAGAAGTCAATTACAAAAATATTTTTCTCAGATTTAATTTTTTTTTTCTCTACATGTAATTTAATAGACTCAGATTCTGATTGAAGACCCTATAAAAAAGTTCTGTTTTTGTTCCGTTTTTGTTGATATTATTCAAAAAATGTTCAGAATGAAGTCATTTTCGTAATAAAAACAGGACAAAAATCGTACATTTTTAAATTTTCAATTATAAAAAAATGTACGATTTTTGTCCTGCTTTTATTACGAAAATGACTTCATTCTGAACATTTTATCGATAGTGAAATAATATCGTTTGATAATTTTTTATATTAGATATCTGACCAATAAAATTACTTCATATGTAAATAACCTAAATGACCAAAATGACCTGGTCATTATTTGATAACTAGAGATCATTTAAATTGACCAGGTCATTTACCATCCTTGCAATACATTACGAAAGTTCGTACCTAAAAATCTACTAGTAAAATCATTTTGAACAGGCCCAGTATATATATAGACAGATAGGTAAGTAAATATAAAGTGGGACAAACATGCTCTATATAGAAGATATTTCAAATATTCTTGTTTTTCAAAGCTAAACATAATCATTAATTCGGTTCAAAAGACTTGTTGACAATTGCTGCGGGACTAATTAGTAAGACCGAATCGAAATTTGCCTATAACGATAATGATAATGCCTTTCTAGTTTTGTAACGCTAGCTCTAATTAGTATACAAAAGGTCATTTCTTTAATCATTCTATAATATCATTGAAATTCAAAGTATAGGTTCATTAAATTGCATGTTTTTTAAGAAAGAAATCTTATTTATTATAAAAAAAAAAATTATTGGTTATATAGTGTAAAATGAAACTTTTTTAAACTAATCTATTATTACAAAAAATTTACATTTATCTAAACCTCACAATGCAAGATCTAATTGAATAAAACTATATTAAAAATATTCTCTATTTAATAACATCAATACTTTTTCTAAAGTTTCTCTAATAATTTTATCAATAGATAAATTTTGAAAAATAAATAGGCCAACCATTTCTGTTTTAAAAGTTCATGTATGAAAACCAAAAAATTTTTGTATAAAATTTTTGCCGGTAAAAGTTTAGAATTAGGGTTAGTGTTAGGAGCAGTGAAGGAAATCTGAAATGCTTCTTGAGAACATAAATTTTTAAAGTTATGTTCTTATTAATAAAATTTACTATACATTATGAAAAAATTTTATATTATCAAGAACGTAGAGAACATTAGGTTTCCAACACTGGTTAGGAGGTAAAAGTTTTTTGGGGCGCTGAATATTCTTATTTGGTGCATCAATACCAATTACTTTGCCAGTTTTTGAGATATAACAACTATGGTGTTCAACATATATATAATGTACTTTAGTAAACCTGAAAATTTCAATTATTTTTAATTATTATAAATAATATTCGATGCGATTAAATAACTCACACAGCATTATTTTTGACGTGTTGATGTTACTGGGAGAGAATATGATCTCGCTAACATTGAAGTGGAATACCATTTTGCTGGTTCTGTTTCGCTTATAGATGATCCTAATTTTAAATTCTGTTTAGAAGATGTTATAGTTCCTGATGAATCTGTTGCTTCATATTCAACCATCCCTTCACTTATATGATTGCTTTCATCCATCCAACCGAGTGATGTTGTTGATCTTGATTTGTAAGCTAATAAACAACTTGGTGTATTAGAAACAGTTATCCCATTATTTATATCATTAATATGTCCACCGTTGGATCCAGATTGTCCTACGCCAATATTACTAACGTTAACAACTGTTCGTTCTTTGGATTTTCCAAGGTTAGTCATGCTACTGTTACGTGGCTGTAGTCCAGTTAGCGATAAATTAATGGGGGTGGAAAAAGCATGAGTAAAATCTAAAGGTCCACCTTCTATAGCACTATCACCACTAAGTCGCTTTTTTTCAAGAAGTCGTGAAAAATAACTTTGGTTTTGTTCAATCAGCGATCCTTTTTCAATTATAGGTGTAATAACAGGTATATCTTGAACACCAATAACTGTATTTGAAGGTTCAATTATAGGTGATGAATTAATATTTATCGTTTCTTCATTATCAACCACTCGAACTAATGATATATCTTCACTAGAATTTGCACTTTTTTTTGAAAAAACTCGTCTGAATGGTGAATTAAACTGAAAAAATTTCCATCGAATATATTTAATACTCCTAGAAAAACTATTTACTATTTTCCAATAAAATCCAACTGAAGGTGAGTATTGCCCACCTTCTAGTCTTCCGTAATCTGGACCACTATCTTTCGCATCCCACCGAATTAATGAAATGAAACGTGAATATATAGACATAGAATCTAATCTTCTTCTTATTGCTGGTGCATTCTTGCGTGAACAAATACACCATATCAAAATTAAAAGTATTATTAAAGATGAAAGTCCAATAATCCATTCTACCATGAAATTATAATAACCAAATATCCCATGATGTTGAGGATTTGGTGGTGGTTTGGGACGTGCATCTAATGTTAAAGGTATTGTGCTTGAAGCTTCTAAAACCATTTTACCAAGAGTCCAACTAACTTGCATATTATCTATAACATCAATGCTTTGAAAAAGAGGTGAATCTCCCATTGTACTTTTAGAGTCTATGGATTTTGGAATACCTATTCCATTATGTAATACATTTACTAGCCATGCGGCTTTGAAACATTGCATTTCCAAACGAGGTAAATCGGATGATTTTAAATTTCGATCATCCTTATGATATTTACTCACGATATTGTCCCATTGATTTGAACAATAATCTGTGGATTTCGTTTCAAATTTTTTATAATCCCATGTACCACCTAAATTAAAGATATCGTGAGAAGTATACCAGTATTCTGATATTCCAATGAAATTATTAACAGTGAAATCAATATTTGGAGTATGAACACCATTAAATAAACAAGGTTCATCGTAACATGTAACAGATTTATTTAATAATGGATAGGTATAATTTAAACAATGTTCAAAATTTCCAGTTCCCTGAAGAGTATAAAAAGGAGGTGGTAAAGTCGTGTCTGTGAGGAGAAGATCGACTGGTAAACAAGGATCTTTAATCAAAACGTTAGGTTGTTCACGTGAACTATCAGGATTTGCAATTTTCTCATGAGAAGATGTATAATTTTGAATACGATATTCGATATAACGACGACGTGCTTCATTTGTTCCATAACCCAAAAATGTGGTCACAAATACTTTATATTCCATTTGTTGACCGTCCAAAGTCCAAAGAAGAACTGTGGTCAAATCGTTTGCATGTTTCTTTGATTCTTCCAAATTAGGCTCAAAAGCAATTTGTGTGCTAGCCCCACCCATATCCAAAAAACCAAAGGTAGTCGTATGTTTAGTTATACTATAATTACTATCATGAAATTGATTTAATTGTTGTGAATTGTTCACTTTATGGTCTCCTTTATCTTTTTCAAATCCACCCATCAAATAATTCACAGCAATCCAACCATATAAACCTTCTTTTTCTCCTGATATGACCTGAACATGATCTGAACACTTCTCCATCATTTTAAATCGATTTTGAAACATTATATAATCACATGCACTTTGTAATATAGCGGTTTGCTGTTGCGAAGGCAACAAACGCATTCCAGCAGTAGCGAGAAGATATATTGGAGTATTTGATATCTCATTTGATGGAACAACTTCCAATGCAAAATCTATTAACTCTTTCAAATGTTTTTCGCCTACTTGAGTTGGATTTAAAGCAAACGAAGAAATTCCTACGGAATTAATTCGAGTATTAGCCTACATCTTTCTTTGGAAGTATCGCATTCTTTCAACTAGGTGAAGTGACCTTCAACGTTTTTAGCCCTTATATAACAAAATTTGAAAATAAATATAGAGATCTGAGTTCCTGTTTACTTTACCTGGTTCGACCTTTTTTTGCCATTTTACCCCAAACTCATCTCCGCGTTCAATGGTTGGCAAGATGTGGAGATCCTTTGGATCCTTATCTTTTCGGGAGAAGCCATGTTCTTTCCAAGAATATATTTGGATTCTTGAACCGGAGCTTCCAGCATCTATAACTACACCAAAGTTTCTATTTGATGACCAAGAACTTGTTGCGGAAGGCATAACGATAATTACTCTATTTTCTATTTTACTGTATCTTACATATTGATGTGTAACAACTTATGCTTTGACATTTTTTCAGGTTACACAATTATTTCTATTGTTTCGCAAAATTCTGTAGATTACTTTGACATACATACAAAATTTTTATTATTAAAAAAAATAACATTTCTCAAACTATTAATATGGTTTTTGCGCTTTATACTAATATTTATAAGTACTCTCTAACCTTCTTTTCAAATGCTCACCAGCAGTCATATTATTGTCACCTTTCCCATTCTCAACTAAAAATCGGCTAGGAATCCGATCTAATCTTACGTCATTTTCAGCATGACAAAAATAAGCAATACTATATCTATCCAGATTTAAAGTTTCCTTGCGACAGACAACACGATGCTTAGTGGATTTGAATAATCCTTGACTCCAAAATTCTAATAAATCGCCAATATTAATTAATACACAATCTGGAAAAACAGGGACAGATATCCAATTCATATCTGTAGACAGAACTTCAAGACCTCCAATATCTTTTTGAAAAAGGATGGTTAATGAACCATAGTCTGAATGACTACATTTAATGAAAGAAAAAAAAAAAAAGTTACTTAATAGAATTTAGTTATTTTTTTAAATTATTATTTAAAAATTACCTTCCAGCGCGAATATCTTCAGAACCTACTTGATAAATAGGAGGATAGTGAAGAATTCTTAAAATATCCACTGTTTCCTCATATCTATGCTTTTTCTCAAACCAATACCTTCCTCCTTCAGTTTCATTAATTTCAAGTGCAATGGCAAATGCTTGTAGTATTTTCATACATAATCCATGACAAGACTATTAAATAATATTATAATAAGGATCTTATGGTCGAACTTAATAATATTTCATTTATTACCTTGATAAAAGATTCTAATTCTATCAAATTTTCTTCAAATATTAAAGGAAGTTCTTGTACTGCTTTTCCATTATGAATCTTTCCAAAGTTAAATGATCTTTCATAAAATATGATTTATAGAAAGAAAAAAAATGTTAAAAAAAAAAAACAATTGAATACTACTTAAAAAGTAATCCATACTCTTTGAAATCCCCAACTTTCTGGTTATCTGGATCGAGTGTTTCTTGATTAATAGCAGTATATCCTTTATTCTCTCTTGTTATAGCATACTTGGATTTCTCTTCAAGTGAAAGACCAAAAAATTTTTGAGACTTTTAAAATAATGATAAAAAAAAAACTAATTAAATAATTATAAATTATTACGATTTTTGAAATTTTTGAAAGGTTAAAAATACATTTTTAAACATATAATCAATTCTTTCACTTTCAATTCCATGATTTTTCAAGAAAAAAAATCCAATAGATTCACATGCTGTTTTAATTTGTTTCGAAAAATTGAATTGATCTTTTTCAAATAATGAAAAATCTATAATCGGAATTGTCATTGTTAAACAATGAAAAAAAAACCAAATTTTATTTTATTTTATTTTTTTTACGTACATAGCAATTTAGCATTAGCGTTTGTGACACAATGACAGCACATTTTTATAAAATACATATTGTACCAGACTAAAATAATATCCTGATAATGCACTGACATAGCGATCCTAATATAAAACCCACCTAGCTTCGCCACTAAATCAGTTACGTAATCGCTGTTTAAAATTAAATTCAAGCATAATATTACAATTCATGAGATTCCGAAAGAGAAAAATGTTTGTATTTATTGTAAAATAACTGATGATTTTTATTGTTTTTTTATTTTTTTTTGGTGTTGATAGGTGGAATAGATAAAGTGTTCCGTAAAAATAAAAAAATGATTTTTCAATTTAATAAATTAATCACGTCTTAAACAGTGTTGTTACATCCTTTTATTATATTATTTACCACATCAAGTAATAAATAATATCAGATATAGTAAAAGGATGCGACAATTACCAATGAACAGGACGTTTAACACTACCTTAAACATAGTTAATATGTCTTTCTTGACAATTATATTAATGGTAGGTTTAAATTATATTGGAAATGCGCTGTAGGACAGCATAAAAAATCAAACTCACGGTGTCCTCAATGTGCATATACTTGTCCTTAAAATTTCAAATATGCTAAATATATTGCAACAAAGAAAAGTGGGATATGTCTTTCTGAAAATTATATCAATATTATCGAACCATTGCATTGGAAATGTGCTGTGGGTCATATATGGGTTGCACCACTTCATATTGTTCAGGTAAAGGACGATGTACCCTTGAAAATGCTAAAAAGATTGCTTTAAGTAGAGGTGGTAAGTGTATTTCTGATAAATTTATTAACAGCAAATATCATTTACACTGGAAATGTGCATCATTATAAAATGTTAAAAATAGTTTGAAGAAGCTAGAAAAAATTTCCTATAGTAAAAATGGTAAATGCCTTTCAGAAAAGTATATCAATAACCAAGCTCCATTACAGTGGTGTTGTGCAGGGCATGAATGGAATACAAAATTTATATCATATAAAATATAAAAATACCTGATGCCCTGTTAAGAGAAAATTTATGCCGTGAGATTGTGTCAAAATATCTTGGACCGCCACTTAAGAATATCCAACTGGATTACATCTCGATATTTATTATCCAGAATATGGTCAGAATATGGTTTTACAATTGAGATACAAGGACAACTGCATGAAAAAATACGTTGAATTCTTTCACAGAGGTCCCAATAATTTTATCCAACAACAAAGGCGGGATCAACTCAAGAAAGAACTGTGAGAAGAAAACTGGATTATTTTAAAGTATGTTTGGTATTATGAAGACCCATGTGTAGTTAGTTATTCCAGAATACCTTCGAGAATTGGGTCTCATTGAATGAAAAGAAAATTTCGAATGCTTTTTATCAAAAAATTGATATGCATTTTGTATAATACTGATTATTCATACAGCCAATGTTTACATAATATTGTTGACTTTTGATTTCTTTGATTTTAATTTCAGAAATTTTTACTGAATTAAAGTATATCGATATTAAAAAGTGCTTCTATGTACAGCCAAATTAATCCTACTATAAATAAGTGTTTGTAGTCGACTCGACTAAGCTGATATTTAAAAATTGACTTAGCCGAATAAGTCGATTTCCTATCGTTATATAGTGGGTTGACATTGTTGACACTGGATACCTCACCGTTACATAAACCTGTATGCTAATCTACCGAATTTTGCACAGAATAACAGAAACGCGTGAATTAACAGAGTTCGGTCCATACGATTTACTGCGCAGTACAAATCTTGATTATTGTATAATATACATTAGTTTTTATTTATGTCACGATTAGCTAATCTATGTATAGAATTTTTACAGTAAAGACTAAAGGCAGACGTTACAGTACTTAGTCTTTTAATTTTTTAATGTAATAAATTTTTACTTCAGAATTTAATAAAGTAGCAATAGTAATAATGGTTTCTTTTATTAAGTCTACTATGAAGTCGAGAAACATTATGAATATAACTCACACGACTCGAAGTAATGGCTAGAACTATACTGCGCATACATTTCGTGTCGTCTTTAATTCGTAATTTTACATTCATGGCTATTAGATAATCTTGAACTTTAGTGTTAGATGTTTATGACAGAATTGCATAATGATGATGTTCACGTGTTTTATGACCAATCAAAGGGAATTTTATTCACAAAATCATCATGAACAAAAAAAGAAATTAAAATGATCTGTGTACGTAGTATGATTTGCACACTTAAATTATTTGTATTTTATAAATCTAGCAATTTCGATTTGGACCTTTTTTAACTGAAAAAAAATGAATTCAACACAACTAAACAGTCTTGGATACAAGTATCAATATGGATTCGGAGTTGAAAAGGATGAACATAAGGCATTCATTTATTATCAAAAATCTGCTGATATGGGTCATATTGGCGGTACATATGATGTTGGTTATTGTTATGCAAATGGAATTGGAGTTGAAAAGGATGAACATAAGGCATTCATTTATTATCAAAAATCTGCTGATATGGGTGATTCTAATGGAACTTCTAATGTTGGTCATTGTTATGAAAAAGGAATTGGAGTTGAAAAGGATGAACATAAGGCATTCATTTATTATCAAAAATCTGCTGATATG